TCATTCTGATCCACACAAAAACAAAAATAATTGTTATCACCAATTAAAATACACTCTCCCAAATTTAATCGGTGACAATAGTGACAAGAAAATTTTCCAATATTATTTGTTCATACTAATACATAATTTATGATGCAAATTAAACAACTGCAAAAAAGATATGAAATTAGATCTCACTATACATTTGAAGTAATGAATTAGTATGATTCCTCTACATAATTAATTACTGGAATGAATGGAGCACTGGCTTACCACCTGAAATGATATAATAATAATAATAATAATAATAATAATAATAAAAACAAAGTGTTGTTCTTCTTCATGGATGATATATTCACTAATATACAGAAGTAATTTGAAAGAATGGTTAGGATGCTGATTATGAGGAACTGGCTCAACTCACTAAATGTGAGTGAGTGTCATCAATAAACCTTGGTTTTTTGCAATGTACAATCTGCATTTATTAATATTATTTATAAAAATCTTTCTAAACCATTATACTTGATCAATAGTTATATAGGTGGTTTTGATGGAATTAAAATATTAAAATATAATCATTAATCAAAAATTATTTCTAAATAAATAAATTTCTCCTTTATTTTAACTTATATATATATTACATATTAATAGCATCTTTATCAGATCCTGCCAATGTCATTAATAAATAAATACCTTTTAATTCAATCATTACATTACTAAATACATTTTTAATAGAAAAAAAAAAACATCCAAAAAAAATAAGTTAACTGAATCATCAACTCTTTGGATAGTTTAAAAATTTTAAAGATTAAATATATGCCTAGATTATGAAATTTGACTCATATAATCAATTAATCATTATTATTTGATTTAATATTCACCAAAATTCAATTGATTGGATAAAATCCTTTGTAATCTTACCTTCTTAATATATATATTATGCTAATACATGGTTATCATTCATTGATGTATAAAAATGTCTTGGATCTAAATCTTTTGTGATCCAAAATTTAAAATTTAAAAATTCATAATTCTGCCAATTCTTGTAGGAATTTTACAATATTAGATTCATTTAAAAGTCAGAGTTCCATACTAAAAAAATCATATGTTGTTAATATGTAAACTTTAAAGATCATTAACAATTTAAAACATCAATAATCTACACCTAAATTACTCATATAATCAATTAATCATTATTATTTGATTTAATCTTCACCAAAATTCAATTGATTGGAATATAATCCTTTGTAAACTTACCTTCTTAATCTATATATTATGCTTATACATGTACAAAATATCACATTTCTGGTTAAAACTTCATGTGGGCATGCTAGGTGACAAATGAAAAAATTCCTTTGATTTTAATAGTAAAAATTGACATTTTGCACAAAATTTCTACATAGTTATTACAGTAGACATGTCAATCGCGTGACTATTACAGTCCAGTACTTTTCCAAATTTGGAATTACCAAATATTGCAATGATCAACATCCTAAATAGTAAATTTGCACCACGTAAAAATATACGTTGATCATTGCAGTATTTGGTATTTCCAAATTTGGAAAGTACTGGACTGTATTATGAAAATTTTGCAGATGTTTTACAGATCACGAATTAATGTTTGAAGGTGTGACAGCATCACTAGGATGTCCAGAATGAGGGGGCATCCACCTTCAATGCTTAATTGTCCAGCTTTAAATGCCTCAATCCAGCAGTAAATTGCATGTTTAGATAGTGCCATATACACTTCAGCAGTGACCAACTTCCTATGAATGTCAGTAGCATCTTTACCATTCTTCTAGCATACCCAGATGTAGTATATTTGGTTTTCATGTGTAATATGTTCCATTATTGTTAATAGACAATATTGAAAAAATTATTTCTTTGCAATTGTCAAATCAAGTTGTATCAAATTTTTTATTACTAATTGGATGTTACCCAAGTTATACTAATCATGTGGATAATTATTTTATATTTATTTCTATCATTATTTTTATTTCCTTTCTTTCCTTTTAGTGAGGTAATATTTAATGAATTTTATTTAGGTAACATCCCTGACTTAATAGTAAAGAGGAGGACAGCTAGAAGGGCACCAATCAAGAAATTGTTATCAGGATAAAAAGGAAACATGCCTGTCTTAGACAGAAGGAGGTCTTGTGCAAAGAATGTTATCAGCACATAGTGTGAAATCTAAAGAAGATATTGTTTAGTATTGCTTAACAAGTAATTGTTTAACAATAGTGAAAGATAGTTTCAAAAGTAAGTATAAATGTATATTTACAAAAATTGTTGTTATAATTTAGTATAAATGAATTGGAAGAATCGTTTTATTGTATTGACACAGAGATAAAGTTAATAAATGAATAATCACTTTTGAACTCAGATCTGACAATATAATAAAAAGAAAAATTTTTTTGTTATCTATTATTTATAAATTCGTGTTACATTATTTAATCCAAATACCTAGGGATGGGCAAAAAGTGAAATCCTTAGTTTATTGTGTGCATAATGCACATAATAAATTATTAATGATTTTTAAAAAACATCCACCATAAAATTATCTTCATGATTTTAGCTTAGATGTAATAAAATATATGTTTATTGTTGTGATTAAGGTTGTGGGCAAAACCTCCTTAGTAATTGCTGAAACCATGGCAAAACTATATTAAATCTTATCAAAAATCCTGTTAAAACTATGCTGAAATGGCAAAACCTCAAAATGCAAAACTCTGCCAAAACTCTAATAAACAATTGATGTGTAACCTACCGAAACCCTGCTGATTGATTTCTGGAGGAATTTCGACAAGCAACCTTAGTTGTGATTAGAATACAAAATTTTATTATAAAAATTTATTATTTTACTAACCTAGTGAATCATAAAAATCATCATATCCTTCATTTCCTTCTTCATTTTCACTACTACTACTGTTACTAAAATATTCACTTTCTTCATTTTCATTTTGATTTTGCATATCATTTTCTGTAAATTCAATATTATCCCCATCCAATAAATTTTTATCCAATTCTTCTGACTCATTTAAAAATCTTTTCCACATTGACATGATCCGTGTTAATCATTTTTGTTTCTTATCATGAATATAATAAACAAGCATTTATTTCATAGTTACAATATTTGCATTGTGCATGAGGTTGCTGAAAGCCTGATACTTGACTAAGTTTATTGAATTGAGTCCAAATGGGATTAGCTTGAGGCATTTAAATTTTTATTTCATTTATTCTCTATATCATGTAATATAGAATTTAAAAAAAAAATTTTTATTAAAATTTTGGTACATAACACAGATTTATCTATATCTATTATGCGCATAATGTGCATGGCAGATCTGCTTATAAAATTCTGTTTTCTTGGTATTTATATGGTTTGCTATTTTCCTTTAAATATCTCAAAACTTTGCTAATCAAAATGGGTATAGTACTAAGCTAAACCCTTGTAAAAAATTACATATAAATATGCTATTAAATCAAAATTGAGATTTTGGCAGTTAGGGCTGTTTCTATTTTCCATGCCCCATATATGTATTTGTACATGAATTTATTTGTATTATAGTTGGCTTGGTCTAAAGACCTCCTAAATTTTGGGCAAATTTTAAAAGTATAGAAGTCATTTTCTGCCTACCTTTTAAAAAATTAGCTCTATTTGTGTCTTTGGTTTTAATGTAATAGAAAGATTTTCTCAAAAAAATTGTTTGTTATAGAGTTTAAAACATGTACTTTACTATGCCCATGAAAAATTTGATCATTATGATCATTACTAAATTTATACTAGTTTTGGATCATCATTACTAAATTTAGACTAAAACTCGACCATCATATCTAAATTTGACAGTAAGGAAAATAAATTTTTAACCAAAATCATGTGAAGCCCTTTTTTTAAAAAATTTATTGCATTTTTGAACAAATCACGAAATCACAATTTTTGAAATTTGAGCACATGGTGTAGCAATAGGAGGTCTTTAGATTGAGTTAACCATACTAATAAAAAATTGATCTTGTTACAAGGACTTTTCAATTTATTTATAATAAGTCCACTATAAAAAGATATTTCTTTATAGTGGAAATTTGTTATAATGGACAAAAATGCCTGGAAACAAGTGTCCACTATAACAAGCTTTGACTGTGGTTACAAATATACAGTATGGGAAGAAAAAACTTGCCCTCTGTAAATTTGCAATAAATCTACAGCCATTAAAGCAAATCATCCATAAAATGACTCATTTAAATCTATGAAACATATTGGTTTATTAAAAAAAATTAATAGGATATTCATTCACCATTTCATTCAATAATTGCTTTACAATATTTCCTTATTGATCCAATTAAAGTTTTTATAACAGGGTCTGGAACTATACATGAAGTTGAAATTAAAACCCCAAAGTCAAAATATTTCAGCTTGAGGAAACTACATAGTAAAAATCAGTTTCGACCTTATTTCGACCCTATTTCCACCAGATCTGCAAATGGTCAAAATAGTTTTGACTTCATGTATATCTGGAACATCCTCCCCCCTCAATCAAAAAATGTTTTAAATCATCAAGATTTTTTGGTCATCATTTTTCCACATTGGTCTTGATGATATTCCATAGGTTATATACGGGGTTGAGATCAGGATGATTGGATGGTCAGTCAATAATCTCAGACACATTGACCTGGAGAAATTCCTCAGTCACATGACTAGTATGCTTAGGATTGTTGCCTTGCTAAAAGTACCAGACACGTCCAAGTGTTTGTTGAACCTCAGGTAAGTGCCTCTAAAGTATTTCAACATAATATGGTCTTGTCATTATTTGCTGAAATTTATTCCAGAACAACCGGAAAGCTGTTTCATCTGAAAAAAGGGTCTTATTCCAGTTTTCATCAAGATGAGCATGAGCCAATTCCTACACACGTGCGCTAGTAAACATTGTGGTTGCTAATGGCAAGTTGTTCTCATAACCCAAGCTATACAGATGCTTCGGAATTGTTATATAGGACACACTAATACCTTTTTCAGTCAATTTAACTTCCAGTTTTCAGGAAGATAGAGAGTGATCCCATCTTAAATCGCAATTGATGTTCCACTGGTAACTTTTTTAGGGTGACCATTATCTTTTTTAATTCAATGCTACCAGTTTCCATAATAGTTGGAGTGGGATGTTTGTTATTCTATAAATCTCTTGAGGAGACTGTATTCCTTCATTCCAGAAATGTAAGATGACTTCAGAATGTATTTTTTTTTAACTTGTGATAACATTTTAACTTGATTTATAATAATTATTAACTCAAGACTATATATGAAAGTTGGTGCGTTACAAGACGTTGTTGTTTAAATGTGATATTTGTTTATATATACGATATTTATTAAGATCAAAGTCACATTAAATTTTATTACATAAATACAAAGGGCAAGATTTCCTTCCCGTACTGTACATTTTATTAGACAAATGCTTGTTTTTATATATTTAATTTTTATCGATCTATAATTTTTTTCTTTGTAATATACAAATTCTATCAATAATTCCAAAAAAGATCGAATTAAAGACAACAAACAATCAATATTCTAAATAAATTTCTAATCCATCACGACCAGAGCTGGGTTCGAAAAAAATAGAAATCTCTCTTGAATGCAATAAATTTTCGGAAGATAAATTTTTTGGTGCTAAATTTCCACTTGTTTTTTTTATTCTTCTGTTTTTCTATTTTTACTATCTTCTCATTAGTAATGTATCGTGTGGGATGATATTCTGATTAACGCATGTGAATCTGAAATGTGTCAGCATTACGTAAGTCCATTACTATGCTAGAAAAGGTAATTAAATACACTATTTCCATCATTATTCAATGCATTCTCGACAGTCAAATTTCCTGATTCTTTTTGTTCTTCGCTACTATATTAATATAATTTTTTTAATTTCAATTTATTTGCTAAAAATTCAAAAGATGCATTCTGTATTCATTTTGTAAAATAATGAAATAATGACGTTATTTTAAACAAAATGCACGATATTTTTGAGATGCAGATGGAACATCGTTACAAATTCAGGAAGAAAAAAAAAGTCCGGCGACATTTTTTTTTCCGGAAATTAATAATATTGTTATTATTAATAATATTAAAGAATTTTAAACAATTTCCAGCCCTGAATCATTGTTTTAGAAATAAGAAATTGATCTTTTTTTTTCTATTCACACTCCCGATTAATAGTGATAGTAATAAAAAAAATTTTTCCTGTTTAGGATGGGAATGTACAATTACAACCCATACATGCAAGTTGGTCCATTCAACTAGTAATAATATAGTTAATGCGAAAATTCGCGAATTTTCACAAAATTGCACAATAAAATAACAATATTAACAATATATATTTAATATATAATAGAAACGAAATAATTTTTTTTTGAATACTTTTAAAAAAATAAAGAAATGGACAATTATTACGATAACAATCCAAGTAAAAGAACAGAAAAAATTAAAGCAAAATCAAAAACAATCATTAGTGATTTACCAAAAAATAGCATAAAATATGTTTTATCGTTATTTCCAATTCTATTTTGGATAAAAAATTATAATTTGATATGGCTTTCGGGTGACATAGTCGCAGGGTTGACAGTTGGCTCAGTCGTAATACCACAAGGAATGGGATATGCTGTTTTAGCTTCGCTGAAACCTGAATATGGATTATATTCATCGTTTGTTGGTGTATCAATATATTGCTTATTCTCCACTTCGAAGGATATCACTATAGGACCAACCGCTGTAATGTCATTATTGATTGGTCAGATAATAACTGAAATAGAAAAAAATAACCCTGATATATATTCTGCTCCACAAATTGCCATCTCCTTGGCTTTGATCTGTGGTTTGATTTCTCTGGTAATTGGTTTATTAAGACTTGGGATCGTTGTTGATTTTATCCCTGCCCCTGTTGTTGCCGGATTTACTACTGGATCAGCCATAACAATCACTGTTACTCAGGCAAGTTATTGAAAAAAAAAAATAATTAATTAAAATAAAATAAATAACGATTATTTTTATTATTTTTATTATTTTTATTATATAGATTCCTAAATTGTTGGGAATAACAAATATTGATAGTAAAGAAGCAGCCTATTTGGTATTAGGAAAATCTTTAGGAGGGTTACCACGTGTAAAAATAGACGCAGCATTAGGAATATTTTCATTGGTTTACTTGTACGGATTAAAACATGGATCAAGATATTTGGCAAAACGTTATCCAACAAAAGAGAGATTGTTTTTCTTTATTGAAATATTAAGAAACATTACTGTGGTTATCATTTGTACACTTATTGCATTCCTATTGAATATTGGTAAAGATACAAATCCATTCAAAATATTGAAGAACGTACCAAGTGGATTCTCTCACATTGGACCTGCATATCTTGATTTGCCATTAATGAGATTGATTGCAAACTATTTGCCTAGTGTCACAATAATCATGATATTAGAACATGTCGCAATCGCCAAAAGTTTTGGTAGAATAAATAATTATAAAAGTAGGTTGAAAATGAATTAATTTTTTATATAATTTTTCTCCCAACACTAATATTCTATTCTCGATACGTACTCTTTAATAAAAAGTAAATCCAAATCAAGAATTAATCGCTATAGGGACAACTAATATACTTGGTTCGTTTTTTGGTTCATATCCTACAACTGGGTCGTTTTCTAGAACTGCTTTAAAAGCAAAATCAGGTGTCAGAACCCCTTTAGCTGGGATATTTGCTGGCATATTAGTAATACTGGCATTATTTTTCTTGACTGAGGCTTTTTATTATATTCCTGATGCTGTTTTAGCGTAGGTTTTTGTACGTTTGATAATTATAATGACAATATTATTATTGAGAATTAATTAAAAAATTAATTAATGAATTTTTAGAGCCATCATCATACATGCAGTACTTAGTTTATTATCCGGGCCTACTTATATAAAGCAATTGTGGGACATTGAATGTAATTGTTTGTTTATTATATTTATGTGTATTTTTTTTTTTTTATGAAAAAAAAATAATATATATTAAAAAATTATTTTTTAGTTTGGGATTTTTCAATATTCGTTTTAGGAGTAGTGTTCACATTCTTCTTTACTGTTGAGGTAAATATATTAAATATCTTATACAATTATATTAATCTGTGCTAGTGCTAATAACAATATATATATATATTATAGATTGGAATATATGTAACAACAATATTAGCACTTTTGGTGATATTAGTACGTTTAGCAAGAGCAAAATATGAAATATTGGGAAAAATCAAATTAGCAAGTCCATATATCGACGATAGTAATAGTAATAATAATAATGAGAAAAACTCATATGCATACGTACCTTTAAATTCTAAATATTTCAAATCAGCAATTCAACCACCTGATGGAGTATTAATATTTAGATTGGATGAATCATTGACCTATCCAAATGCTTCATACATTGATGATCAAATTGTAAAATACTGCAAGAAGAACACTCAAAGAGTTTACCAGCCACCACTAAAAAAAGGTGATCGGCCATGGAATGATTTTACAGTTTACGGTGATGCCAGTAAAGAAGAGGAGGTAGAAAATTCAAAAAAACCAATTCTGAATGCTATAGTATTTGATTTTATCGCAGTCGGTTCCTTGGATTCAACTGGACTACAATTTTTAATTGATATGAAAAAGGAGTTGAACAAGTATTCTGGACATCATGTAGAATATCACTTTGCCAATGTTATCAGTACTAGTATTAAAAATAGTTTAATTGTTGGTGGGTTTGGAACTTTAGAAGGTGAAAGTGGGCATGTTACGGAAGGTGATGTTGTAGAACAAATTGCATTAAGTCATAATGATACAATCAGTGAAAATAAAGTTGATAATAATGATGATTTGGAGAAAAATCTTGCCACTCCTAGCAATAATAGTAATAGTAGTAATAGCAATAGCGACACTATTAATGTCGATTCTAATACAAATGATATTATTAAAAATGATGATGACGACGTAAAAAAAGTTAAAAATAGTAGGACTCATAAAAGATATTTTCATTTGACTTTACAAGAGGCTGTAACTGCAGCAACCAATGGTGTTTGGTAAATAGTTATATTATATAATATTGTATATATAAATCATGTATTTGTTAGTGTAAAAATTCAAATTTTAAGATTACATTTTTAATAAACATAAATTACCTGATGAGAAGGTTTTCCAACATCAACAAACTACTGACTTCATTCTAGAACCTTGTTCACGAAAAATTTTGAAATTTTTCATTTGTTAAAGCTCATTCCTTTTGATAGATAAAGATCAAATTAAAAAACCTTTAAAATAGATATTATTTGTAAAATGTCAATTTCTTTTTCGAAATCGAAATGCCTTTACCTAAAATCGAAATAATAGTCAATTGCGGGAGAAACTCTAAACTAGTTTCGGATCACAGCATTGGTCGAAATCAAAATTGAAAATTGAATTGAAATCGTTTGTAATTTATTCGGTATGGCAAATAATAAAGAATTAATTATAAATCTATATGAAAGTTTTTTACGTGAATCAATTCCTTTTTAGACGATCTGCACTTTGATGGAAAAACAAATGCTAATCTGATTGTCAAGTTGTTTATGGACATGCATACACACGCAATATTGTGTAAATTTACTATGTAAAAATCACCTGGATTTTTAATATATTATTAATATACTCATATAAAATTAAATTAATACTAATATTAATATAAAATTCCGCTAAAAATCCTTTTATGGATAGATCGGCGTTATAAAAAAATATTGTAAAAACGAAAAAAGTGGCAGTTCGACTTTTATTTCGGTCATAAAATTTCTATCAACTAAAAAAAGACACAGAATATTCATATTAATCTGCTCTTTCTTTGTCCACAGGGATATTTATTGAATGGTATCCTAAATCAATTTTTGGTCACCACCACATGGATTTAGTTTGATCTTAATAGCCAATGATTAATTGTGAATGTTTTGCCCATTTTGATCTATGTTAATCCCAATTGGTGCCTATAAATATCTTCATAAAATCATCAACGTTACTATCAAAACTAAAATATAAAAATTTAAAGACATTGCCTCAATATATTAATATTACAGATTCAGTTGTTATACAACTAGGCCGTTAGATTTAATAAATCGTCTAGCATCATATTAATATGTAGTGAATACTGAGGCAAGTCTGGAATTATTAATGCCAGAAATTAGGTGGAGATAATTTGACGCCCGCGATGTCTAATCCTACGTCCCCAATTGTTTATATTTGAATACAATTGTAAATGATAGTAATATGATCGTGTGACATCATCTCCCGAAGAAGGAATTGTTGTTTGTCTAAGTTTTAATTAAAAAAAGTTAGATTCTTAGAAATTGATACTGATAATAATTTTGATGCATCATCGTAATCTTTGATGATATTATTTATATTTTCATTATCCACCAATCTTATTTTTATAAGTCGTTATTTTATCCACACGTTTAGCCAATGATCGATTTCAAAAATTCTCCAATTTTCCAATTCTTTTTTTCCTTTTTTTTTAAAAAATAAGGTGTATCAGAGTACAAATTAATGCGGTAGTAAGAACTGACCGTTCAATTAGATATTATTGTTATCGTCAGTTTTTTAATAGTGATATCAGGTGTTGGGGGCCATTTAGAATTATTCATTTAAAAAGACCTACAGAGTCACTTTCTATTTTTGGAACACTATCCGCCGACCGTAACCGTGTATAGTAATAGGCAAGCCTCAGTTTCAGTCAATATAAAAATGATAAATGGGTAAATTATTGTTCATATCATTTTAAATGAGATATTCAAATTAATGCTCGCAAACACATGAAATTCGGGATCAACTTTTAATTAAATTATGAAATTATATGAAATCAAAAAAATTATATAATAATGAAATTATAACTATTTTTTACCTTTTACTTCCTGTTGTTGTTGTTAGAATAGTACTGTTAATAATAAATCGTTTTATTTTTATTTAATAAAGAGTTGTGCGTCTTTAGATAACAACAACAACAATAATAATATTTATAATTAGCATTTGTTCAAACCTTTTTTTTTGCTGGTTCATTCAAAAAAACTACTCAACTTAAAATCCAGTTCAACAGTGCAATTCAAACTTCAACTCGAATTCTAACAACAACATAATATTCTTAAATTGTAGTTCTAGTTGGTGGTGGTAGCGGTTTAGCTGGATTTGTAGATGATTTATGAAAAAAAACAATAATGTGTATTGGATAAAAAACAATAGTGAATTGGATAAAACATTTATAATAAATAAATAAATAAATAAATAAATAAGTAAATAATTAATTTTTTTTTCTCCGGACATCATTCTCGACAAAACATAAATAATTGTTTAGAACAATGTCTTCAAAAGGATTCCTACTCCCACCACCACCAACACCAACACCACCACCACCGCCACCACCGCCACCACCACCGCCACCGCCAACAACACCACCCCCACCACCACCGCCAACAACAACACCACCACCACCACCACCACCACCACCACCAACAACACCACCAACAACACCACCCACAACAACAACTGACACAACACCACTAATAACAACAACATCGCTGCTGCCACCGCCATCAATAATATCATCATCAATACCAACACTAACACCTACTAGTAATATAACAACGCCCATAATCACCGCACCATCAACCTCTTCAACCCTTCCTAGTTTTACAACACCTACAAGTACAACTTCATCCATTAGTAGTAGCTTTAATGTTGGATTACCTAGTAGTACCACAGACGCACAAAATGATTCTGGTGGTAGCACAACAAGTACTGCGACAATAATCATAACTGCAGTGTCAATAGGATTAGTAACTTTGGCAATAAGTGCACTGATAACATTTTGTGTACGTAGACGATTAAGATTATTGAGATCGTCTAAACGAAATACAGATTTTTTTGATGATTTCAATCCAAGTAGCAATTCTATTTTTGATATTAACAGGAAACATGATGGTTACAGTGATGGTAAAGGAAAAAGATTTTCGTCGATTTTTGAAAAAAATACAACATCAAGAATAAATAATACAGACAGAGATGTTTCTAATACTTTGGCAACTACTCCGAGAAAAATGTTAAGAAGTAATGGTCGTCATAATGGTAATGATTATGACCAACCATATCAGAATCCAACTTATAAACAGCAACCATTTAATCCTCCAGTGCCACAAACTGCTATTCTATCGACATATCAAAATACACCGCCGCTATTACGACAACGACAACAACAACAGCAACAGCAACAAATATTACAACAGTTGCAACCACCAATGGTTCCGAATGCATTACAAAATCAGTATTATTATCACCATCAACAATTTCATCCTCGTCCTCCTCCAATACCAAATAATCTATATAACTATCCACCGCCATCTCATCCTTATACAAGTTCTTCACCATATAATTTAATCAATAATAATGTCGCATTGAATAGGGTCCCATTATCACCAAATCAAGAAAATAGAAATTTTGTCAATAGCAGTAATAGTAATAATGCCAGTGGTCCACAATTAAATTATAATAGTTATAGCAATTTAAATGGTAATGGCAATAATAATAATAATAATAATAATAATAATAATAATAATAATAATAATAATAATAATAATACGGATAAACGAAAATCAATGAATAAAGTTCTTGCTAATTATTTTAATGATAAGCCCACAAAAAATGGCAACAAAAGCATTAAAGAAAAAAATGATTTAAATTCTGATGATGGTGGAAATAAAAATAAATCACGATTAGCTTCGAGAAAATTAAATCGAATTTCTGTGAATTTATCAAAATAATAACATTTATTTAATTGTATTACAATTAATTAAAATCCTAAATCCTCATATAGCAAAGGTTTAGACTATCAATTAGTTCTAACATTGTAATATTTTCTTTTTATCAATATAATTTTAATTAAATAATTTATACATAATATTAATATCAATAAATTGACATGACAAAAACTAAAAATTTTATTATCCAAATCACGTTTGCTTTATTATTATTATTATTTACATTTTGATATGTTACAAATAGCACCATCTATGATTTTTGTTTAGAGGTTTCATTTGACCTTGAAATAGTTTTTTTCTCCATCCTTCATGTATGGCGTAGCTGGACCCAAGAACAACAAAAAGGGATCATAATACTCTATATCTTCTGGTTTATTATCACCATCATTAATGATAATTGTTTGATTGAGAGAAACCCGAAAAAAAAACCACCCCAAGAGGTTTTCCACCTTGAGCATTTTTTTGTAAAACATTAATTGCTATTACATACATATTCTACACTTCTATGCTGCTCTCGCACACATATCAATATGCCTTTTCCAAGACAACCATGTTGTAATTGTTAAAAAACCCCTTCGTGCTGAACCACTCTGAATGTGGTTGGGATTGATTTATCAGACCACTTGTCACATTTTCAGTTGTAGAGACAGTTTTAATAAAGTATACAGACAAAAAAAATGGAAGACATGATGGTGATTTAGCTGTTTTTTTCTTTTTTGATACTCTACCTTTATTTTATTTGGTTTAATAAAATAATTTCCCAATTCAATTGTTTTTTTATCAATAGTGCGTGCCATCTAAAGACATCAAATGCTGCCAAATCTTCAAATCCTAAAACAGCAATGATATTCTTTGGTGTTACGGGATTATAAAATCGCATGACTCAATCATTATGAGTTTGAGTATATCCAAATAAATTTTTACTTGAATAAATGAACAAAAGAAACACATAATTCGAATAAAACAAATAATTCGAATAAATAAATGAATGAATAAACACATAAACGAATAAACAAATAAACAAATAATTCATATAATCAATTTCTTTATCTGAGTTTTCTTCACTTGATGCGTATTCTAAATTTTTATTCAATTCGTTATCTGATTTGTTTTAAATGGTGTAAAATAGTAAATATTGAATCACGGGAAACGAACATATAAATCGGAAATGATTTACGTGTGTTACGAAGTGAAAA